TGGAGACACTTTTGAAAAATATTTAATATGGTTTATTAATTTTTATTTTTATTGTTTTACTTATTTTATGCAATTCTAACCCATTACTTTATTAATGTTTCATTTTGCCCCCTAAAATATTTTTTTAGTTCCGCGACTGCTCACCCACACAAAATGCTTACTTGTGGTCCTCACATCCCACAAAAAAGATGATGTTTCATGCCCCGTGGGAGCCACGTTATCATAAGTTTTTCCGTTAGTGGAAGGATAATGAAAGTTTTTAAAAAATGTTTGTAAATCAAAATTATAATTTTTAAAAAATAAAATGGTTGCAATATTAATTAATTTAATTAGGACTCAATTAACAAGTTTAGGAAAATGATTCATTAGCTACTTTTTTTAACAATGAAATCTGAAAATATCATGTAGTATAAAAAGTTTGTAGATATTGTTTCTTATTCAAAATAATTGTCATGATAAAAAGAAAATATGGTAAATAATTAAAATTAAAAAAGATGTCAATAAAATTAAAGTAAAAAAAATTCATTTATTAAAAACTAAAAAAATGTTAATATAAAACAAATTTTGAGTTAACAAATTATTTTTAAATAAAAGAGTAAAATCTAATATTTTAATAACGTAACATGAGACATACAACATATATGTGGCAATTAATGTGGCATCTCGTTTGCAGCCAGTGTGGATTCTGTCAGCGGAAGCGGAAGCGGAAGTTAGCTAAATGGCCCATTTTTTAATGGAATTGGTACTTGTAGATTACTTTGTAAAGGAAATTTGTTTCTAGACTAAACTGCTAAAAACTGTATAGTTAATAGACCATCTATTAAGTTTAACCATACAGTAATACATAGCAGTCTTAGACAAACTTACTATAAAAAGAGTTAGCTACTCCACCTTGCCAATGTTTCTTAGCATTCCCTTCAAACAGATTAATAGAATAGGGGAAGTACATAGCAAAACATCTTTCATTTCGTGGGCATTTCTCCCACTTTGTTGATCCATTTCCCAGAACCATTTCCAATTTCCATACATAGAGGTTAATTCCATTGTGAAGTTGGTTATTTCTTCTCTCTTTCATTTTTGTTTTGATGAATTCCTTGTGGGAGTGTACATGGATTTGTGTGTTTTTCAATTTTAAGATTCATTTCTTATCTGGGTTCCATAGATTGATTTCCTTTCCTTACTTATTTTCTATTTATTTGGCTTTGAAATTAAAGTTTTAATTTTACAAAATATCTTTGATTATGTGATATGGTTGGTTATAACTTATAATATTACTTGGTTATTGAAGATTTGTGCCATGTGAGTTGTTTGCCACTGAGAGAGTTTTGGAGTCCAGTTTCTCTGCCTGCTGAAGAAGCACGTTTGCCCTTTCTGTTGGATCCAACTTGACACTTGGGTATAAAACCTACGTCAAAATTTTGGCTTTGTCCAATGCTTTCTTTGGGATGAAGGTACGTGACGCTTTTTACAAATTTCATGGTAATGAAAATGAAGAATTACGGAGAAAAAAGCTTTTCAAATATGAAGTTTTTTCTCTTAAGATGTGAAATTAGTTTAAATTTTGCAACATTTTTATGAACCGATGATTTTTGAAACCAAATTTAAGAATGATATTTAAGAATAAAAAATTTTCTAAAATTAAAATTTGAGAGACTAATAATGTAGTTTTAGCATTGAATTTCGGACGATTTTAACGGAAGAATGAAAGGAGTTATGAAGTCCGTTAATGAAGGGATGATGATTGCCCCTCTTCTAAAGTTGAAGGATTTAAACCATTTCTAGTATGAGAACATGATTATCGTCTATTTTCAATACAACCTTTTCACTCAAATCCATTGTTCCCTTACTCGCAACATAAAAACCTCATCAGAAAAAAAATTAATATAAACTACATAAGGCATACAAAAGCATAATCCTTTTATAAATTTAATAAAATGCAACTTTAACGGGTAACAAAAACCTCCTTCAAATCATGCACATATAAAAACTTGTATTTAAACGTTGAACTTGATTCATCAAACACATAATTATACTGTCTCCTATTAGTTCTATCTTTTGAAAAATTTCTTTCTCACCCTCTCCAACAATGTTGTCATCATTATCAAACTTGATATTCTCAAAACTTGAACCATAAACACCATGATTAAATTGTTGATTGTTTTCTTTGTGCCTTGAAATAAAATTACGCAATGCCATTATTGCAACAACTACATCCTTTTGTGTTGCAAAATCATAGCCATGCATGTCCTTCAAAATCTTCCATGGTTTCTTACATATCCCAAAAGCTCATTCAATCACACTTCTAAGAGAAGAATGTGCATGATTAAAAATTGATTAAATACATTTTTTGGTTCATTTACTATTGAAAAAAGCCCCTTTTTGTCTCTATATTGAAAAAAATCCTCTTTTTAGTCCTTAAAGTTTAAAATCTGACCATTTTTGGTCCTTTCGTTAATTTTTGCTCGTGTGGCACGTTATCTTAACAGAAACATCTGATATGGATATTTCACCGTGTAAAGTTGCTTACGTGGACTTAATAACACTCCTTCATGTCACTCTCCCTGTGCGAAAAGAAAACCCTAATTGATGAGACCCACATTTTGAAATGGCAGAATATCCAAATCCAGCCCCAAAGTATAGTGGCAGGAACGGATTCACCCCCGATCAAAAAATGGGGCTAAATCCACTTACAAACTTTTCGACTTAGACAAATCACCTCAAATTTAATGTGTGATGTCATTTGACGTCAACAATCTGTTAACAATGAACTTATTAGCAACATAACAAATTAACAGATTACTGAAATCAGATAACGTCACACGTTAAATTTGGAGTGATTTGTCCAAGTCAAAAAGTTTGTGGGTGAATTTGTCCCTTTTTTTGTTCAGAGGTGGATCCATTTTTGCCCCTATACTTTAGCGGTGGATTTGGGTATTTTGCCTTATGAAATTCTCCTTTTTTGTTTTTTTTAGTTCCTTCTCCAGATATCATCTTCCTTCTTTCAAAACTCCTATTTTTCGTTCATAATCAATTATTTACATGTGAGATTGGTCAATATATAATTAAGAATTCACAAAAATAATTCCATTGCTAAAAATAAAAAATAATTACTAATTAAAGGGATCTATCAATACTGTAAACCCTAATTTCTCCTCTGCAAAACAGATTCTTCTCTTTACTCTTTCCCTAATTTTAAATTTTCAACCTTTTCTTCCTGTTAACCTAGGTCATGAATGAACCAAGTTATAAAGTTCATAACAACATGAACACAACAACATGAACCTATCACCTACCGTTTCAAACCCAAATATCAAGCACAATCTGGGTTTCGTAATGAACCTATAACTTAACGTCTCTAATTCAAAATCAAACATGATATTTTGGTTTCATTTGACTCCTTTATGGAAGATAGATACATTCAAAAAAAGAAAAAAAAAAAAGAAGGGTTAGAACCTAGAACTTGGGTTTGCAGAACACAAATCTGGGTTCCATGAGGAACCTAGGATCATGAAGAGGATGATGAAGAGGATGGGGAAGAGGATGCTGAGGATGAGGAGGAGGATAAGGATGAGGAGAAAGAAGAAGATGGAGAAATTAAAGTTAATTTCATTTAAATTCATTTAATTCATGAATTAAAAAGTAAAATTTTTAATTTGTACATGCGGTATAAAATATTCAGATGAAATGCTTACATGGATTTATAATTTAATCTACATAATTTTCACATAATTTATAATATCAATTATATAAAAAATAATCAAATGATTCTATTAATTAACGTGACACATCAGCAAAAATTTAATGGAGGAACCAAAAAGGGCCAAATTTTAAACTTTAGGAACTAAAAAGAAAATTTTTTTCAGTACAAGGACCAAAAAAGAGCTTTTTTATAGTAAAGGGACCAAAAAAGGCATTTAACCTTAAAAATTTCACAATAATCCAAAGGTCCATGTGCTCCCAGTCCAAGAGGGTGGTATTTTTCACTTCCAGAAGGCTTCAAATAATCTTTCTTCAATGCATATCTTGAATCAATCAGATAGTATTTTCTATAAGATCAAATAATTATAATATTTTTTCATACATTTCTTTATATTAAAAAAAGGAGAAAAGGAATGACAACCTAAATACCTTCTAGAGGATGAGGAAAGTTATAATTGGAATCATTAATAACTCCAGAAAAAATAGATGCATCATGACATGTTCCTTGTATTCCTATAAGTACAAAAGTAAATTGCATATTGAACCTGCAAGCTGCCATTATATTTTGAGTTGGAATCCCTTTTCTACCAATAAAATGAATCAACAGCACCAATGCAATCCTAAATAAATAAAAAAAAGGGGAAACTTTAGATGCAAATTATAGGAGTTCAGTCATAAGTGTAAATAAATGTAATTTTATAACACCTTAAAATGAGACCAGTATCCCATATCTTCGTGTATTTCAAATGGAGTTCCTTGGAGATTTCTATCAGTAGGTGATATAATATTAGTAGCCAACAAAAGTACTTTATCAAGCACAAAATGGAAGCATCAACTAACAGTCTTCCCTGAACGCTGGAAATGCTCTTGTACCAATCTATTACTCTTGCCTAATGCCAAAGTATATAAGAACATTCTTAACACCTTAGCAGTTCCACTATGTCTTAAACCTCTTAAATTATGTTTAATTTCGAGCTCATGTAACAAGGATAAAAATGTATCTTTGTTCATCCTAAACATATTCAAACATCTATCTTCATAGCCCTGTAATATTTCCCTTAGTCATGCATCACTTGTTTGTTGGAAAGTCATGTGTGGCACTTTTTAACAATATGTATTAGCATAAATCTCAAATATATGAGCACTAACAGTCAACATAAAATTATCTTGAAGCTCATCAATTGCGTCATCTATATTTTACATGATTTTTATAAAGAGAAGAATAAAATCATTAAAACATAAACACAACATGATACACATGTAAATAAAAAGTTATCACAAAGAAAAAAATAATAAACTTGTAAAATGTCACTGAAGTTAAAGTTAATGAAGAATTAAAATTACTGACTTTAACCAAAAATCCAACCAAAATTCAAGCTGTCTAAATTAATTTAAAAAACAGTCTCCACCACATGTTGTAAAAATAAAAAATAAAAAATTTATAGTTTTTAAGTTATCATAAACTTTCTACATGTAGGAGCTAGATGGTCTTCATCCTGTGTCTTTGGTATTATGGTTTAAAACTATACAATTAACAAAAGATCTGAAGTTTATAATCCTTGATCTTATAACAAACTATTTAAATAAAGTAAATGCACATTATAAAAGAAGACATGATAAAAAAATTAATAAAAATTTACAGATAATCTAATAATGGAAAGGAGTAACAAAAAAAAAAAAAAATATATATATATATATAAATAGAAATGAAAAACATAGTTCTAGTAAATTCAAAATTCCATATCAAAAAATTCTAGAATAAATATATCATCAAATATTATAAAGAAAATAACATATAAATTAGAATGCCTAGTCTATTTTGGTTTTGGTATTTTTTGCCTCAGCTTTAAGCCATGACAGCCTAATGGTAGGTTTTAGAGAAACAAGCATCTCTCATTTATATTTGATGTCTAAAAGCTAAGTGACAGTAAACAAATAAAACTTTTTGCCAACATCCATATCAAGCATATTATCCAACAATTCTACAACTTCACGTATTGTAGGAACATGTGGGTCTTTTATGTTGAATTTGACTAGAAAGGTTTCTGCCATCTCCTTGTTTTCTAGATTTTCTTAGCATATCAAATCCCTCAGCATTCCTTTTTTGCTTACTACAATCATTTTCATATAGAAAATGGTATATGAAAATGATTAGCTGGTTTCTCGAGGTCAATGTTTTCCACAACACTTTCACTCAAATCCTCACTTCCATGATCTAAATTTTGAGTTTCAATTGGACTATTTCTAGGTAGAAGAGTTCCTGAAGAGGGAGAATAAGCATAATCCTTTTGTGAAATGGCTCCATGAAACATCTCCTCATACTTCCCTTCCAAATTAGGTCCTATTCCGCTTGTTTTAAATTTCTTTATTTTTGGTCTCTCCTACACATTAGTAAAAGACAATTAGTAGATGAAATAACTATTAAGTTAAATTAGTTAGATATGACATCGACTGTTTTGGCAAACCTTTTCTATTACCATCCAAAATTGTCGAGTGGCAACAACAACGTTACTCACAAGATCACATCCCATACCAGTAGCCTCTGACTTTAGCCACTTCCAACTTCTATAATCCACCCTGAGTTGATCTCATTTATTCGTAAGTTGTTTTTGAGTACATTCAACTCCTACTTCTTTGTTAAAATTTCACCATCAAAGCGTTCCAAGGTCAAGGAGAGAAAGTATTCCCAGAATCATGTTTTAAATATTTATATTTCAAACATATATCACAAAATTTTTCCATGAGACGTCTAGGCCAATATGCATTGGCATTAACATCTTTAGTTGTAATGTTATCACCCATTTTTACTAAAACAGATGGAAAACATATTAGAATAAAGGAAATTCATGATTCAACATAAGGACTTATTAAATCAATTCCTTCAAGAATAAAGTAATTAAACAGAGAATATGTATCATCTTAATGAAGAACGATAATCTAAAGCATAATGAACTCTAACCATATGACATGAACATATTGACTTAAACACAAAAATTAGAAGAGCTGAGACCACTTTAAAATGTAGAGTAACTGGCAATTAATTTTAGATGAACACTAGCTTAAGCACAATTAAAATTTAAAAACAAAAAAAGATACTTGGTAATTTTAGGAATCCATTTTTCAAATTCAAAGAAAGAAACATGAAATTGGGATCAAAACCAATAGAAGAATCACTGCAGAAAGTTACACCAAAATTGAACTTGATTAAAAAATGTAGAGCACCATGAATTTCAGCAAATGAATAACCAAAACTTTCCTTCTCATGAACTTAAAATTGGAACTCCTTCTCATGAACTTAAAACTAGAACTCAATAAAGTCAAGGAAAACAACCAAGACATTCCAAGCACTAACTGAACCAAACAAAAGTGTGAGTCAATAACAAATATAAGGTGCAAAAAATCAAAAGCAAAAATAGAATTAAATCAAAATCAGATTTGAATCAAAGAGAAAAGGACTAAATTAATACCCATGAAAGGAGAATCCAAATTATTGTTTCTTTATACTGACCCAGAGAATAACTAAACCCAAAAGAAAAAATATACTCATATGAAAAAGTAGGATATCCTTGCATCAATTCTCTCCTTAGCCAACTGTCTAGAAAATTTCCATCTACAAAAACCTCTTACAATTATCAAACCTAAGGAGTGAGGATAGTTCACGGGTGGAATTTATAGTGAAAATGATTGGAGTAAAGAGTAATTGTAGTTGAATCAAAGTGTGTGGTGAATACGAGCACAAGATTCAAAAGAAATTGATGTTCTTATGTGGTTGTAGTTGCTTGATATGAAGAAACACGATTAGAATGGAGAAAATATGATTGATAATGGTATTTTAAAAATTTTATTAATTTTGGATAAGGTGACTCTAGTACTCTTTCCCAAAAAAGTAGAAACGGATAAATTACTAGAAGCATAAGTTATGAAAAATACTATAAATATATGTGAAAAGTCTTGTAAGTATTGTTATCAAAGGAAGCCTTAATTAATTTGAATTTAGTGTGCATGATCTATAAAAATAGATTATTTAATCCAATTGTTGTGTTTTTTTCTTCTTCTTTTTCTTTTTCTTTTTTTATGAAATATTTCAATTTTAATGATGGATTTGACAAAATACAAACCATTTGAAAATTATGGACCGGAGTAAATTAAAATGAAACTTTGATGTTAGAAAAATAATTACATCCCAGAACACACATTCAACTAAAATCCAACATTTAGCTAAAAACTAGAGAATCGAATTAGATCTCTAAGCTGCTGTTTGCTTTCAGTTTGAAATAGAACATCAAATTCCAGTATTGTTATAGAAGAATTTTTTTTATTTTTCCAAGGACTAGAACAAGTTTAGTTAATTCTCAATTTAACAGTAAAGCATGCATTTATAAGTTCATAATAGAAGACTTCAAATAGCATCACTCGAATTAGGCATTTCGATAAGGAAAAGTGCTAGAACTTTTAACTCTTGAAACTAAGAATGTTAACAGCAAACACATTTAGTTTTATGGTTCAAAACATAGCTAAGAAAAGATACTAGGATTTCATTATGTACATGTTCTTCAAGTTTTCACGACGGTTACACGACAAAACGTAAGGTTTTCCTACAGCAGTCCATTTGTAATTCATAACACCAAAAAGTTCATACGTTCGAGTACAAAAATCAGAGAGCCAGGGCTAGGCCTTGGGCAGAGTTCAAATTTGTCTTAGGAAGGTTAGTTGGACTGGCACTTGAAATGGTAGATGCTTCTAAGGCTCCCAAAATAAGTATGCTGCTTTTAACTAGTTTAATCTATTGCAACAAGGAAGCAAACCTCCATAAGCTGTGAGCCTCAGTAATTATAGCAATAAAATTAACATAGTATAACTAATATAACTTAAACCAACCATACACTGATGTTAATCTAGAAAAGTAGCTTTCGTACCCCAAGGGTACAGGATCAGTTCCATCCAAAGGGTTCAATGACGCAGAAAAAAAAAAAAAGGGTAATGTATTGCATCTTCTTTTTCTTTCTTTCTTTCTTTTTTTTTTTTTTTTTACTGTTAGAAAATAAATTTTATAAATATCACACTAATATTTTCAATGAAAACATATAATTCAAATTATTAGTCTCATACATACAAACATAGTCAAGTAATTAAACTACATACCCAAATCTGATCTCAGTATCTCTCAAGCATGATTAGTTTCAAGGAAACATTCTTTTAGTATCAAATAGAGTTAGATAAGTAATATATACTTATTTCCTATGCAGATTGAATCGCCTTGAAATTGTTATTTCTCAAACATTTTTCTTTATCTTCACATCATATCACTGTTGCATCTTGGTTACAAAATCAATAAAATTGATAATTAGTGAAGTTATTAAGAAAATATCAATAAAAAAATATCATCAAAATAGGCATAAAAAACTTACTTTATGGCACATGATTAACACCTCTCCAGATAGATCTACTAGTGTGATAGAAAAATATATGCAACATGTCACCCTTACAATACTACAATTTTATAATAACACTTTATAAATTTATACTACTCATAAAATTTCTTAACTCAAAACACTTATTTTTTTATCTAAGAATATTTTAAAAAATAAAAGTGATAGAATATATATTTATGTATTGGGGCAATTGTGTCATTTAACCTATTGTGTATCCTGTCTATATATACACTTTTACTAATAAGAGATGCGGCTTTTTGTTCTGTTTTAAAGAGTGTATGAAGCGAAGACCAGGAAGGAACTTTCTTATTTAGGCAAAATAACATGTTCCATTTATAAAACTCTTGGCCTTGTAATCTTTATCTATAAATTAATTGTAAAAATAAATTATACAGTCCAACATATAAATTTACTAAAATATATTTAATAAAACTCTTCTTATGTTATTTCAATAATATTATTTTAATAATTTTATTGCATGAACTACACTTTAATGGTATTGTCAAACTTGAACAAGATGTAACTCTAAAAATCATTCCGTCAGTGTACATCTCACCAAATCCTTCGACCAGCTAAAAACAGCACCAAAGGTACAGTCCAAACCAGCTTCAATTAATTTTAGGAGTCCTTTCAAAATTCTAAATCAGCTACAATCAACCTTAATTAGAAGCAACCACTAATAACTATAGGAGTTATTTCCCTAGCCATTAGCATAGGTCTTGTACTTACTTCAAACCCAATTAACTTTAAGAGTAGCCCCATGTTACTTACTTTAGGAGCTCTTTAACATAGATTCAAAAGTGCAGAATGCCTTTATGATGCTTATTCATTGCATTATTTAAATTCTAATCTACATAAACATATATATAAGCAAAATAATATAATGCATAACTAACACAGTCCATTCTTTCAAATATTTTGCAGATTTTCAACCAGAAAACCATCCACGACGAGGTTTGAGCATGCAAAGAAGAAAAGTGCAACATTGAAGTAAATTTCTACTTACATGTACTTTAATAGCATTGCATGTCTAAAACCCAGTTTTTTTTACTAAACTTATTCCCTAGCTCAATTTCATCACAAATAATTTCAACAATATAATTCTAGATTAAGTTGGATTAAGTTGGATTAAGTTGAATTAAAGCTAAATTTACCTTACTATAACCAAGTTCAACAAAAGCTCTGCCTTAAACTTTTCTCAACTCTGCTGCTGATTCTGGGCTGCAAAAACTCCCTCCCATTTCTTTTTCTCGTTTGGCACCAGAAAATAAGAGAAGTGAAAATGAGTTCAACTAGTGATTTGAACTACTTATACATCTAGACAAAGTTAGTGGAAATTATTAAATTTCCACTAACCATATCCTTCTCCTTCTAATCTGGTAATGTTGCTAAAATTACCATGCAACTGGAAGCCAAAAAGTCCAGTTTCACTTAACTACCTAAACTTTTAGAAATTTGACAAGTCAAGGTTAGAGTTCCACCAAACCTCATAATTTAGGATAGGTGTTGCCTGATTCTGCCTTCGTTAAAGATTTGGTCTCCAAAACTAAAGCTAACCTTTAAATAGATGAGGATAGAGTTTCTTAATCAGCTCTTCCATCTCCCAGGTACCTTCATTTTCAAAATGAAGTTACCATTTCACCTTAAACATGGGAATGACTTTGTTTCTCATAATCTTTTCTTTTCTGTCAACAATTCTTTCTGGTTCTTATTCATTCCATAATTGTTCTTGCAAACAAAGTAGGTTAATTTTGATTACGTGCCTTATTTGGAAAATATTTCCTTACTTAAGAAACACAAAATACTTGGTTAATTCTGGACAGGTTTGGTGGCAAGGCAAGTTTGTATGCCACTTCACCAACTTTCTTCAGAATCTCAAAGGTCCAATATACCTTCGACTCAACCATCCCTTCAAGCTAAATTTGTGCGCTGCCTTGGTAGGTGAAACATTGATGAAGACTCTCTTCCAAACTTGAAATTCTTCTTCTAGCGCTAGCATATTTCTTCGGTCTATCCTAAGTTGTCCTTAATCTTTTCTAAATTAATTTAATCTTCTCAGTTGTCTTTTACACTATTTCTGGTCCAAACAACTTTCTTTCTCCTACCTCAGACCAACATATAGGTGTTCTACATTTTGTTTTGTATGGGCATCAATTGAAGCCATTCTTATGATATCATGGTAGTTATTATAGTATGCAAATTACACCAAATGTAAGTGCTCTCCCAACTATCAGGCATGGCCAGTGCACAATCTCTGTTTCTAAAACTTGAATGGCTCTTTTTGACATCCCATTCATACCATCAGAGGACATCTATAGCCCAATATTCTTCTTCTTTCCTCCATCACTCAACCACTTTTGTAATTGGGAATCATTTTGATGTGCCTCCCTAATTTTTTCAAATAATTCTAGTTAGCAAAGTCATATGACCTAACAACTCCCCAGGCTGTTAGCAATTTAAATTTTCAAATTTCTCAACTCTTCCAACAACTCCCACTCTTTAACCCACATAGCAGCCAAGGAAATAGATTCTCTACTCAATGCATGTGCCACCACATTAGCTTCTCCAAGTTGACACATGATCTTACAATTTGTAATCATTTACATATTCAACCCATCTACTCGACCTAAGTTTTAAATCTTTTTGAGACAAGAGATGTTTTAGCCTTTGGTGGTTAATAAAGATCTAAAACTCCTCCCCACAGAGGTAATGCCTCAAAGTTTGAGTGCAAATACAATTGTTACCAACTTCAAAATATGAACTTGATAATTCCTTTCACGATTTTTCAATCGCCTAATTCCTTAGGCAATCATTTTTCCTTGCGGCATTAATACACCCCCCAGCCCTCTAAGTGAAACATCTGTATAAACAAAAAACTTCCCCTATTTACTACGTAAGGCTAAAATGGGTGCTAACACTAATCTTTGCTTAAACTCTTGAAAGCTAGCCTCACACTGGTCATTTTGTACAAACTTGTGATCTCTTCTGGTTAGCTATGTTAAGGTTTCAAAAATTTTGGAATAGCCATCAACAAATCTCCTATAATAACCGACTAAACCAAAATTCTAACTTCATAAACATTAGTTGGTCTCTCCCAACTTACCATGGCTTCAATCTTACTGGGTCAATGGAAATTCCCTCTTCAGTAACTATATGCCCTAAGAATCCTACTAGAGTAAACTAAAACTCACATTTATCTAATTTGACATATAGTTCATTTTCCCTCAACCTTTGCAATGCAAGGGCTAAATGTTCTTCATGACTTTTCTCATTCGGGGGATAAAGTTGGGTGTCATATATGAGGACTGTAACAAATTTATCTAGATATGGTTCTAACACTCTCTATGCATACGATCCATAAATTCTGTTGAAGTATTTGTTAGCCCAAAAGGCAAAACCAAGAACTCATAATGTGCATATCTAGGCCTAAATAGTCAACATAACATCCTCATCCCTAATTCTCAATTGATAGCAGCTTGATGTCAAGTCGATTTAGAAAACACTTTAGCACCTTGTAATTGAGAAAAAAAGATCATCTATATGTTTTGAGTACAAGGTACATGTTCTTAATTGTCACCTGATTTAACTTTCGGTAATCTATGCAAAGTGTTAGGGAACCATCTTTCTTCTTTACAAACAACACTGAAACACCATATGAGGAAACACACATGCAAATAGAACCTTCATCCAATGGATCTTGTAACTGTTTCTTTAACTCAATTATTTCTATAAGGGCTATCCCATGTGGCGCTGTGTTATTGGTGCTGTTTTGCACACCCAGTCAATCATAAATTCTTTCTCTCTCTCCTATAAGGTAATCCACATAGTTCTTTTAGAAAAACCACCTCAAAATTTTCCACTACCTTGATCCCTTTTACACTACTAGGGTTGCTTTTATTTTCAAAACTATAAGCAAGATATCTTGTACAACCTTCTTGTAATAATTTCCAGCTCTCATACTAGAAATCATTACAGGATTTGCATGTAAATCCTCACCACTAAATTGAATAATAGGTTTATTAGGAATCTAAAAGGTAACCTCCTTATTCAAACAATTTAATGTTGCCTATGAGTTGACAACCAGTCCATTCTAAAATTACATCAAATTCATATACATTAAGAAGAATTAGGCAATCCAGCATAAAGTTCCCACTAACAACAACACAACATCCTTTATACACAGTATAAAAGGACAAAGTAGCTCTGAAAGGCAAATTAATGACCGATTCATAACCTGAACTCATGGTGTAAACGTGAAAATATGCAGCATTCTCGGGAGATACAAAAGAATTAGTTGGCCTAGGATCTATTAAGATGTTAGCACTCCATTTAAAACATGGAGTTTACCTAGAATACATCTGGATTCCCTTGGCTCCATCCAGTGAGAACAAACACCCTTCCCATGACTTTTTGTTTTTTCTTCTTTGGCTTTGGTTTAGGACAATTTTTGGCTAGGTGACCCACTTTGCCACACTGAAAACGTGCCCTTTTCTGCCAATTACAATCTTTGCCTTCATGCTTTTTGTGAACACACTTTGCAATTTTCCACCTCTACCATGCTTTTGATGACTCCCTCCCTCTTTCTTTTTTGCTTAAATTTCTTGTTTTGAGGGTGAATGTTGAAATTCACAGTTTTTCCCTTATCTTTCTACTGACTAGAATTCCCTTTCTTCGTATCATGGTATTGCTCAATAACTTGTGCCTTCTTCATAGTAGCAGAGTTTTTGGTCACTTTTTGTCCTACAACCTGACTTCCAATACAAGTCTTCTATGCCCTTATAACCTTTCTCAACTTGGCTAGCTTATTGATCAACACATGGGGAACAAATTGTACCAGATTACTGAACTTGGCCTCTTATTTGTCTGCTGTCGTCTCCCCCTAAGTTAAACTCTTAAAACTCTTCATTCTTTTGTTGAGAGTGGCCTGAGAAAAGTAAGTTTTATATAGTTATTTGATGAAACCTTTCCAAGTTATCATCTCCCTTCTTTTAACATAACCTTCCTGAACAGGGTGCCACCAGTTCCTAGCTTCACGTCTAGGCAGAAAAATAGCCATATGAACCTTATGAAGATTCTTACATCTCATCACTTAAAAAATTTGCTCTGAATCCTTTACCCATTCTTCAACTTTTTGGTGTCCTAAGTTCCCTTAAAAGCAGGCGGATTCTACTTTTGAAATTGATTCAGTTTAGCTTGGTACTCAGGGTCATCTTCCACTTGCTCAGCCTCAGCTAGTGTCTCACTAGTTCTAGCATGTTCCCCTTGTGTGTTTGGCTACTGATTCATATTCTTC